GCACACATATACATACAGACATACAGACATACAGACACCACCGCGGGGGTAGTCAGGGAAGCTTCCTATGACCTTAAAACGTCGAGATCTGATGAAAACTCGATTTTTGCAAAACGGGGTGAAAACAATAACTTCCCGATTTTTGAAAATCTGAGATTTTTAGCGGGAAGTTAAAAATGGACTCAAAAAGTGAAATTATTTGGGCGTTATCGCGACCACATACATCATCCGCACATACAGACAACCCGACGTCCACCGAAATATTTTTTCAAAACGGCTTTTTTATACTATCTAGAAAAAATAGTGTTTTTTAAAGTATCTACTGTCAAAAAAGTGTTCGAGTTGATATTTGTCAACTCATTCAATACTCAAAGTGCAAAAATGATCGGATAATGCAATTTAAGCCGAGATAATTGCTTGACCTTGAGAGAGTGAGAGTAAAGCACTACTCAAATGCTTCGCGTTATGAGACGTGCAATATTGAAATTATCAACCTTATTAATGTTATGTCTGAAGAACTCACCATCTTATTCCAAGCAGGTTGAGGATTCTGTAATACAATTTTATCTAATATTCTTCCATCGCTGCACAAACTCATGGTTATTAACCACCATACAATTTTATTAATTAACTTCATTGTTCAACGCTCATATTATTGGACACAATTATTAACGTTTTGTTCAATTTTCGATTATAAACCGTTAAGACGCCGTATTCGTCAAGTTTCAGCTTATCTACGTCTAATTTACAGTGACTTAAAAACTGCAAGCGATATTTTAGAGTATACTATTTCGTCCAGGAACTCAAAAATCAATAGATTAAGAACAATTTTGCGGCCGCTGATAGTATAACATACATCGTTTCGTTTTTGCGTATCAACTGCTACTACCGATTTTACAAGATTCATTTCCAAGTTTAACCACGTCATTTTTATGGTTACTAGATGTAATATGCGCGCGCAAGCGCGCGCCTGAATGTGAGTTTAGAATTATGTATATTTGTATGCTCATCATATATTTGACCAATCACATTACGAATAAATTGGCTTCACATATATTTTATTTTGTTACTTCGTTTGTAAGCGCTACTATTGTTTGTATTGATTGTACACATCTAATTGTACATTTACATCAATAGTGAATAACCACGTCAGTTTGAAGTCAAGGCTAGAATTATTTGTTGTGATATTAGTAGCATTGATCCGTATCCTGGATACTTGCAATATCCTTTACAACTTTTTCTAGTTTTCAACAAAGAATACAGCAAATGCTTGTACGGTATAGCTTTCATGTGTGTAGACATCGAATGAGCCACGAAATTATTTTTGGTTAAAGTAAATTTGTCTTGGTTCAAGACTTTTTTTCCTTGAATCAAGATTTTTTTTTATGGTATTCTTGGTTAAAATGTTTTTTTTCTTGAATCAAGTTAACTTTGTTATCAGTTAATAATAATTATAAAACTTACTTTTGATGTTATATGGATGATTCGCTAAAAAAAAAATTAGGACAACGGTTGACCCTAAAGGACATCCCTGCAACAAGCTCTTTGAGCTCAAAAGTCTGATAGAAGTTTCATAGAACACTATTTTTTGACTTTTTAAAATTCAAAAAACTTTTGAATGAATGCACCGATTTTCTCGCGGTTTCCAGTATTCAACGCAGTTCTTTGATGAATCTTAGAGTGTGAACTGGTTAAGCTAAAAATTTCATCGAAATTTTGAAAAAAACATTTTTTTCAAATTTTTTCGACCACAATGAAAAAAAAGTTTTCTGCCCTCCGGCCGGAAAGTGGCAACTTTCTGGCCGCTGCGCTAAACAAAGTTGCCACATTCCGGCTACGTCGAGCAGAAAAATAGTATACACACCTTGGCCAGTAAAAAGTAAAGCCTCAGACCACATGTTTGTCAACCTCGGCTTCGCCTCGGCCAACAATTACATGTGGTCTGAGACTTTTCTTATTTTACTGGCCTAGGTATGTAATATACTATTTCTGCTCTGCACTATACGAGATCGCTACTGTCACGATCTACACGTTACTATCTAAAGGAGAGTGAGGTTAGGAAAACTGTATACTAACGGAAGCAATAGTATCGTGAATGGCACCCGAATGGATCCTGACTGTCACCATCCAGACTGCTACTCGTAGCTGCACAGATTTTGCCGGTAAGGATTCACTCTTTACTATACAGTAGATGGTGCTGAGCAGAAAACTTTTTTTTTCAGTGTATGATATCTCACGAACGAATCAGGTGATTTTGACCAGACCAGCGGCGATCGACGTGGTTTTTTCATGTTAAGAGCTAAGAAGTTTTTGAAATCGATCGTTAAAGCCGTTTAAAAGTTATTTCAAAAAAACCACATTTGAAAAAACTTTTCTTCGTAGTTTTTTTTGGGATTTCTCGGAATTTACCGGTCCAAGCCGGTTTAAAATTACAAAAAATCTAAGTTTGGTGAAACTTTTAATAACGCCACTAGTTTGGTTCCAATCGGTCAAGCCGTTCAAAAGTTATAAGCAGTTTACATACGATTACACACACACATACGGACATACGGACATCATCGCGGAAACATTCGGGGAAGCTTCCTATTAGGACCTCAAAACGTCAACATTAGTTGTAAACTCGATTTTCGAAAAACGGGGTAAAACCAATAACTTCCCAATTTTTTTTAATTTTCAATTTTTTTCGCGGGAAGTTAAAATTACGTTAGTGAAAGCGTAAAAATTTTTTTAATTTTCTTACCGTGTAGACATAGTTAATTCTTATTTAAGCTCGCAAAATCATAACTCGCTTTACAATACATTAAAATAACTAATTAATGTTGTTTCCCAAGTAAGCACTTAAATTAAAGTTGTACTAAATATCAGATTGTCCCAAATATTAACTGCCAACTAATAGTTTTCAGAAGCTCCGAAACTCGAGCAATATAAGTCGTGAAACTCGTATAAGATATTAAATATATGAGGATCCCCAAATAATAATGGAACTCATGAAGAGAAGAGAAGTATAACCAGTCTAGTTGGCAACTTCGGATCAGATATAAACTTATGCAACCTCATCTATAAATCACTTCTAAGTATTCGCTATTCGTAACTCATATCGTATTAACTCCTCGGCTTTAGCTTTCCATCTTATTTCTGTTTCTTATCATACATTCTTACCAAATTCGCTGACAACTTCAATCTCTCGATTACTTATATATCACATCGGCCGCTTGTTGGCAGTTTAACAAATTTAGACTGAGAAATTTAAAACAGTTTTTCTATAGAGAATAAACTGTGAAATTTTTTTTGAATCCTTGATAAGTCACTTAAAATTTTAATTTAGATTATTATTTTTACAAAAATTGTCTGATATGACCTCATAGAGCTAATTTTCAACACATTAATTTTTTTAATTTTTATTGATTTTATAAATATGTATGTCAATTAACATGTCATATTAATTACACAAAAATTGTAACAGTAGTTAATTAATCTAAATATCAATCACATATAAGCTCCTCAAAAAAAAAATTGTTTTTTATTTCAAAACTTTAAAACTTAACTCTCTTGTGAGGGGATAAATCAGCTACCATGCGTCCTCTGTCGGAGACTTTCGAGACTACTTTGGGCCGAAAAATTACATATAGCTATCTATTACCATATCAGGCCTGATATAAACATATCGAGTTATATGAAGACTACCAAGCCAAAGGAAAAGAAATTATTTTTAAAAACTACTGTGGAAATGAAAGTAATTGTTGGACGTTCCGGAATTTATTATTTAATTACAATTATTTCAATAATTTTTCATGAATACAATGTAAAAATATGGAAAGGTACCATTCCTTTTCACTGAAGTCTACCGGTAAAGAAGAGCTGCAATCGCTCTCGATTTATCACCGATATAAAAAATTACACATTTTCGTGATCAGTTGTCGCTCAATTGCAGTTAATTCTAACAAAGTTCTAAGAAAATTTTATGCAATTAGTTAAATATTATTTCTCAGAATGTACTTTGATGATATTCGTAATGATTTTTTACTATGAGCTATTATTCTATAGATATATTATAAAATTCCATAACCTTAAAATATAAGTTAGATCAAAAACTCCGTTTCGTTTGAAAATAAAAACAAATTTTTATGTAAAGAAACAAGTAATATTTCTTCCACTAAGCTTATAACTATTATTTTTTTTTGGCATTGACGTGTGAGAGACATTAAATAGGGTAATCACAGATGGGTTCGGTATAATCTTCACAGAAGTGCATACTGTGAATGGTGCGCACTGGTGCATCTTTGCAGAGCTGTTTCTATTACTACTGATGTTCAGAAACGTTAAAGCTACACAGAAGCTTAGAGTATTACTGTAAGCTTGTAGCTCTACAAAGCTATTTTGTTGCAGGTGTACTAAACTTTAGATATTACTGAATTGATCATGCAATTGATGTTATGTACCTTTTGGCAGTTTGTCTATCCGACCGTGTACTTTATCCCCGCATGTTCATTGATTTGTTTCTATTAGTATTTTGCATAATAGATTCTATTACATCTTCCTTCGACGTATTTAGTAATTGAAATCTCTTTTTGTATCAAAATGTATACAGTATTTTATGTCTCAAACTTTGTCAAGGTTGTAATGAAAAAACTCGACCGAATTCGATGAAAAAACATGTGAAAATTTGTAGCTTATTTGTTGCACTGAAGAAAAAATTTTTTTTCTGAAAATAATGAGCAATTTTGTAATAAAAAATTAATTTGTTGAAAATTTCAAATAATTTTATTTCTTAGCTGAAAAAATCAAAATTTTTCTCACAGTAACTTTCTTGTTGAAAAAAAAGGTTTTTCTGGAAAAAAAAAATAATTTTAAATAGACAACTTGCAAACTTTTGTCCGAAATTCTTCTTTTCTAAATCTAGTATCCAAAAGATACCCAATCTATATACATTGTGTTTAAAAAAATCGAAAAATCACTGAAACAACGTTCTTGTATTCATAACTTGTATTCGTAATTCTCGGAAGTTACATAGTAAAGTGCAGGTTGCGGGTAATATATTATTTAACTGTGGATGAGGCTTTAGGCTATTAGAAGGTAGGAGCGACGAGCGAAGCGTGTGTGCTGACCAACGAGTGCCAAAAGCTTCATCCACTAAGTTCATACAAACATAAATTTAATTAATGTAACATTTCGCATAATATTGTTTAAAAAAACTTCTGGTTATATTATGCAAGAATGAGTAAACGCAAACATTTATTAATTAATAAAAAAATATTTCATTTTCCAACAGTATTCATGAATAGTTTTATTTGCGCATTGTCACGTAACCGTTTTTAATTTCATTACAATATCATATAAAATATTCACTCGAATCCGCTAGTTATTATTTTAATTCAAATTAATTGGTCCAGTTACCTTAATTTAAATTAGCACAGAAAAAATTTGCCTCATTGCACCAAAAAAATTTGAGTTAGAAAATTTTGTGTTAAGTGTTTAACACTTTTATGTACGAATTCAACACTTTTTCGTGTTATTTTTGTCATACTAAGAAAAAGATAATAAATATAAAATTAATTTTTGTTTGCCCTTGTGAAACTTTATAAAATTTAAATATGTCATTATTTGCCTCCTATCCTTCAAAAGTTAAACTTATGAAGCGATAATAACAAAAAATATTGTATGTTATCTGGCGGTTTAGCGGCGATTTTGACGACTTTTTTTCGATGTTCGGTTTAATGTTTGTGATGCGAATGTTCGAAAACGAGCGTAAATTTTCGTCCTCGGCTTTGCATCGGTTAAAATTGCACCCGTTTCGGTTCTTCCCACCACAAATCTTAAGCTCATATCGAAATATCGTCGCTGTCAGAAAACCGCCACTTCACGGCGTTATGAAATAAATATCTATTTTATATTATTAAATTATTTCAAAATTATATCTATCTTACGCATTATTATTTGAACTTTAATTTAAAAGCAAAAAAATTTCTTTGCCTTTATTGGATACTTGAAATTAAAATCTACTAGTTCTTTTTACCTTCATTGCTGTTAGAGGAATACGGTTTAGATGTTTGCCTGTCAAGGGTTAACTGTGTACAGTTTCAAAATTTATTCTTATTTTTCTAAAATATTTAATTAAAAAACATCAATACTTAAAATAAATCGGTTAAAAATATATTTACTTTACTTTTTTTCAAGAAAGAATTCAAATAATTTCTGCATGTAATCTAATAATATTAATTAAATGAAGAATTTAATGAACTGAATTATAGGAATGCTGTACGGTATATATAGAGTCTAGAAGCTTGAATTTCAAATTTAATCAGAAAATAATTATATAATCCTTATCACGTTGAAATGACATTTTAACATGTTATTAAATTTTGATGAATAACATCGTTGTTAATCATAAATAATAATCCAAATAATAACAATAATAATAATAATAATAAAATAGAATCGAAAATAACGCATTAGATATTTTGATAAATTAAATTTAATGGAATGTGGTTTAACCGAGTGAGTTTTATTTTATATATAATGTAGGTGGATAATTTTATATACTTGATTCGGAATAAATGGAGCGTTGAAACGCATTCCATTGGATGGTCTCGGTATCTTCTCTGTCGTTCAACCGACTCAAGTATCAGTTACGGCTGAACGTTCCGCAGCTGAAAATGGCTCGAACAATTCCCGGGAATTAAATTATTTTATAAAACAGTCGGTCTCTGAATTACGGCCAATTATATTTTTTTTCTGAAGAAATTTATCCGAAATCGAAGGGAGTTTATTTATATTGCCATTAACATGACCGATGTAATTGAGATTGAGCTTTTTTGTGTTCTTTTGAAAAAAAAGTTTTAGGTTAATGACTCCGTTATTTTCATTTTTGATTAAAAGTTATCGCGGGTGTTGTCGATGTTTCTTTTATGTTGCTTGTTACTTTTGCCGAGCCTGGGTACACGTTTATGGTCATAAAAGAAGTCAATAATATCAGTTATCAACTTTTAACGAATAGAGATAAAAAACGGAAGCGTAAAAATCGTAAATTGTGTGTCATAGTAAAAGGATATGAAAACTCATAACACTAAAAGCTCGTAATTCTTTTAAACTTTTTGTTCTTTTTAATAGTTGTAAGGATAATAACGAACAATACTAAAAATATTCATTTTCTTTACTGTTGGATTATTAAATTGTCTTGTTCGTTTGTTGTTATTAAAAGTTTTTTTTTTTTTATTAATATCATAACTAATTTATTAAAAAACTTTTTTATATTTCGACGGTAAACACTGAAAAAATATTACTCGAATAAAAAGAAATATTGTTGATCTAAGAACGAAATTATTTTGTAGATAACCGGCTGTCTTGATTCAAGAAATTCTTATCAAGATTGTGAGTAAAGTATTGAAGATACGGAAAATTTATAAGGACTTTTTTGTTGTAAATTAAATTTTCTACAAAAAAAATTCATATTATGATTTTATAAAGGCTCCAAATATTAACCAATTTATATAAAATGAACATGAATACATTATTTGTAAAGTTAATGCAAAATTTTATAAGCTAGATGAGTGTTTTGATTTTTTTTATAGTTTCAACTTACAAACTATAATACTTTTAATTATAAAATACATAATAATAAACATTAAATTGTAGTAATTAACGTTACAGCTGGTTACTCCGAATATTAATCATCATGCATTAAATATTGACTGCCCATGTTCTAAATACTGACAAGTAGTATCCACAGATTCGGTAGAATCTGGCGCCAAGTTCCGTTCAAATCCGTTGTCAACGGAGCGCCAGAATACCGACTGTGTTTACTGTAAGCAGAATGGTATTTTGAGGTTGCAAAATTTTATTTAATTCTACGGTACTTTTTTTTTCTAAATTGTATATTATAACAGTAATTCATACTTTATTTTACTGTTATTAATTAATTATATTCACTTATAACAATTAATCTAGTTGAAATTACTAAATTTGATCAGCACAAACTATAGCAACGCAAAAATTTCGATCCTGACTTTTTTTCAATGGGCAAAGTGATCTGCCACAGACTAAATAATTCGAGAATGCATAATAATCCTTCATTAGATGGGAAACTACAGTTAAAAAAAGATATTTCACAGCTTGCATCTACACCCGCCAGGGTGCGCTGGAATTATTTTTACATAAACTGTAGCTTCAAAGGGATAGTTTGCTATAAAAAATGCAGCCAACGCGAGATTTAAGTTGGTACCAATTGTAAATTTTTATTATAATTACAAACAATACTAAAATCCGAACAAAAACAGTTTCACTGTAAAAAAATCGCGCCAAGTCCACGTTCATAAGACTATTAAGAAAAAAAAATTAGTTTTTTCTTTACAAAAAGATATAAAATAAAAAAATGAAAA